ATTCATGTTAAAAGACCCTTTAGCTATGGAGCTTTCAATTAGTGTTATTCTAAAACATTTTTTTCAAATAAAAATACATCTTTGAATACAGCTTAAATGTAATTGCATTCATTAAAATCTGCTTAATTTTTTCAATTTCTTTGGCGATTTTTTTTTTAAATAGCGCGTTTTTTCCTGGCGAGATTTTTCAGAAACCCATTGTTTTCACACTCTAGAAAAAGTAACGGACAGTAATTGCAGTTTTTATCTAATAAACGTTTTTTTGTCAAAAAAAAGTAATAATAAATTTAGAAAAAAAAGAACTTTTCTTCCGGTAAACGTCGTTTAATCTTCTGTAAAAAGCGTATTGAAAAAATGAAATTCCCGCAAATACTTTATGCCCATTAAAATTACTTTTTTGCATAAAATGTTTATTTTTTCGCCAATGTTTCTTTGCCAAACGCCTTTTTACGCAGTTTTTCATCTTTAATGTAGTGCGTCATTGTTTTCTTAATGCTATAGCAACAAAGCTTTATTTAGCTTAATGTTCTTTTCTTTCTAAGCTTTTTAAGTTAAGAAACAAAAGGCTTTATTTTCATGATTTTTTTTACTAGAGCGGCTTTTCAAACCATTTTTATTTAGATAAACTTCTTTATACTTAGCTATTTATTTTTATTAAGAAAATAATTCCCGTATTCTTCTGTTTTTGCAATTTCACAAAAATTTAATGAAACCTTATTTCTATTTGAGCTTTATTTTTATAAGTGAACACAATTTTTTATTTCTCAATTCGAAAGAAATACAATTACTTTTAAATCCACACATTCAAACGTGTTTTTTGTTTAAGAACTGAAAAGAAAACCACATTTGGAGTTTATTTTGTTGGTTAAAAAAGACTTTTATTTTTACGCGAGGTTTAAAAAAATTAAAATATATAAATAAATGTTTTTACAAGGATGCAGAATTTTTTTTTCATTACGTTTACTTTCTGATTTTTTTCTGGTCAGTACCTCTAAGCTCGAGTAAATAATAGACTTTTTAAGTAATTAACACTTCTTGATCTAAAGCCCAAAAAGGAAAGATTTTTTGTAAACAATAAAATTAACAGCATAATGCTAATTAGTGGTAGAACGTTTTATGTGTGTATTATATACAGCATTAAATTTATAAAGAATATTTCACGAGATTAATTAGCAGTTGGTAAAATCAATTCTTTTTTCTAATAAAATATACATCCGACTAATTACTTCTGAAGTTGTATTTTTAAGTTGTATTCAATTTTCAAATTTTGATACTGTTATACGTTGTAAAAAAAATCTTAAATATATTAATAAACACAAAATTAGGATTGCGTGAATTTATTTTAGGCATCCGCAATTTTTTATAGTGTGCAAATTTGCAGAAATAGTATGTCTTCAAATCTGAAATTTGAATAATGAAAAAAAAAATATTTTGGAACTTAAAATCTTTATTGTAAATTAAAATTTATGATTTTTTATATAATTTGGAAAAAATTAAAGTAAATATATATTTTTAAAAAAGGTAAAAAAACATTTTTTTTATATTTTTATTTATTTTTTTACAATTTTCACAAACCAGCTCTAAGCATCTGTAAAATAACAAATTTCTTACGTTTGCTGAAGCTTTTAAGAAAAAAACGATGAGATTTTTGATGCGTTTTTGCCATCTTACTCACCGTCATCGACATCCAGCTGGTCAGGGCAGTAAACAAACGTAATAATATAAGTAAGGCCACAAGAGGACAAATTATTGGTTAAAAAGTAGAAGTTTTTTTGAAGTCTGAAAAGCTGAGTCAAGTATTATTATACAAAGCTGAGTCAAGTATTATTATATTTTTCTTTATGTTTTATTCAGTATAATATAATAATAAAATTGGTGTAAAGAAGTTAACTTATTCGAATAAATGCGTTTATGGGACAGAATTTTTTTTATATTATTATTTTTTATATTATTTAATTATATTATTAAAAATTTCAAAATCTAATGGCTTGTAAATAAATAATATCTTTTGTTAGGCTTAAAACAACAAAATGAGATATTAATTACAATACAAATATTTAAAATAAATACAAAATTTTATAATGTTTAGATAATTGGAACTGAACTATTTCAGGTGTCTACGCTGAAGCTACAAAAACACGTATAAGTTTATTTAATTTTAAAAAATATATTAAATATTTTTTTTCCTTCTAAATGAATGCAGCTGACCATAAAATTAATAGCAGATCAATATCATCTAATATAATTCTGTCATTAAATTACGCGCATTATACACTAAGGTGCATAGTACATTTTTGTATAATTATATTTATGTACAGTGGTCTTTAAATAACCCCACTGAATAACTTTTGATCTAATAATCAGATCTTTGCGTTCTATGACTCATTCTTAATGGCTCTAAAGGGTGACCTCAAGTAGATTAATTAATAAGTGCAGACGATATTTTAAAGTAAAAAATCCTACACAAAAACGTACTTTCTCTGAATAAACGTTTCTTTTTTGATGAATTCAGATTTCTTACCTCCAAAATATAGGGCTGAACTCCAATCTGGGAAATATGGTCCAAATTCTATATCTGTCTTGGAAATATGGGAGCGTTCCAAAGTCTCAATCCCTTAATGTTTATTTTAATTTTTGCGTATTTGGCAACATCTCGAGAACTTTTTAGTATTTAATAATGGTCGAAGTGTTTTTCGAAATGTCGGGAATAAAATGTTTTGCATATTTTAACGAATATGATTTTAGAAGGTAAACAACGAAATTTAAGCAAAATCGGCTGAAAAATTCCTTGGAAATTGAATTTCAAAAGAGTCAGTTATTTAAAATTCGATTTTTCCGGAATTACCGATTTTACAAAGCAAATTTTGCATTTTGTTTTATAAAATAATGTTCTTTAAAATTATGTAAAAAATTGCATACTTAACTATTTAAAATATTTTCACCCATTACATAATAAAATAGTAAAAAAATATAAATATTTCTAAAAGTTATTTTTTACATGGATTTATCTTTGGATAAACGAATTTTATAATTGTGTACAAACAGTTTACATTTCGCCTGAAAAGTTCTCGAGATATTGTGAAGTACGCAAAAAGTAAATTTAGCATCAAGGCGTCCATGTTTAAAAGTGCTCTCCCGACCAAACTATTTCCCTGATTGCGATTATCCCTGTATTTTGGGGGTCGGGAATGCAAATCCGTCAAAACAAGATATGTTTATTCAGAGAAAGTACGTTTTTGTATCTAATTTCGTAACTTTAAATATCGTCTGCAGTTATTAATTAGTATATCTGAGGTCATCCGCTCGAGCTATTAAGATTGAGTTCTAGAACATGAAGAGCCAATCATTAGATCAAAAATATATCAGAGTGGTCCATTTTTTTGTGTACTATACATGACATGTAAATTTACATTATATTAATAGTACATTTGTACATTTCTAGTTGTGGTAGTTACTAAATCTTTAATGTAACCTGATTAGTTACTTCAACTTAAATTTCTTGCAAGTTTATCATTGCCTTACATTTTGCTGTTATTTAACTTCAAAATTATTCATGGAACCAATGCAATCGCAGTTTAGACTAAAAGCGCGGAGATGATCTGTAAAAATTAAGAGAATGAGCAAAATTACAACGTTCAAATTTGTGTTATTTTCGCAATTTAAGAACTATGCAAACAAATCAGTTTCTATTTAAATCCCATTTAGGTAAAAATAAAGTAGAGAGAATGTGAATAAAATATGCAGATGAAAGAATGCTAGAACTAAAAATAAAGCTTAAATTGTGCCAAAATGCAAATCATAAAATTTTTAGTAAAGAATAAAAATGTTTTTTTTTAAAAAAACGATAAATGGTTATTCTTTTATATTTCTTCTCTTATTCAAAGCACTTAAACTTTGAATTCGGCTAAAAATATAAATAAAGAATTGTGAGCAGATGATATTTTTTATAATAATGTATGCAACAGACAGGATTGATTTCATAGAAAACGATTGTTGTATTCATAGAAAACGATATTCTTAAGCGAATTCAAATTTTCTAACAAATGATTGATTATAGTAATTAACTTTGCAGACGACTTTTGTAATGTAGTATCTTTTAAAAGTTCGATTTTTTCTTCTGGAACTTAAGAATTTTTATTGTTTCACACATTATTGAGGCTGTCTTTAATAATTTAAATTCCTTTATTAATTGTTCAGTCGTAAAATCTGCCAATGACCTTAGCAGAGATAACTCTTGTTAATTTCTGGCTATCGTCTCTGTAACATGTTTTGTAATTACTGTTAACAGGTTTTCTGTTTTCGTTACAATATATAACAATAACCAGGAGTGCTTTTTAAAAAAATTGGTTTTAATAATTTAGTGTATTTGCTTCAAAATTAATTAGATTTTTAAGTGTATTTTCATATTTAGTTACAAGCATATATATAAATCCTGTTCCATCAAATAAGAATACATATACATTCCACTCGGTAAATTAAAGCTATACTGATTACGTTCTTGGTTAATTTATGCAATACGTATATATAAATAAATGTTCGAAACATAAAAACGTTGTTTTATAATTTCCTACTATCGTTTGTGCTATGTGATTTACTAAACGATCTTTTGTTAGTTATTACATTTAAGGATATTGGTGATTACTTTTCAACAATGATTACCTAATGATAATGAACTCGTCAATTTTGAATTCTATGGTAAATCAGTTATGGTAGGCAACAGGCAAGGAATTTTATGCTTAATAATTAAACATATAATCAATTTTTAATTTCCATCAAGTAATCAAAAATCATTTATATGTGTTATACTTGATTATTTAAATTATTTTTGATTTAATATACTTCGATTATTTATATAATCTGTATAAATTAATAGATATTATGAAATAATTAATAACTTTATATGTAACATAGAGTTGCATACTATTCATTATATTATTAATAAATTTGTGACAATATTTGCTCTAGAATTATCATTAATTATGGAATATTTTGTTTTTCAGCAACCGTACACGAATTTTATGCTGTGGCTGGTAATAGAATTTCCATGCCCTGCAACATCACAGCACCTTCTAGTGACGATGTTGTGACGTTGGTGCTTTGGTACAAAGGGGACATGAAGGTACCAATATATACTTTAGATGCCAGAAAGGGACCTATTGAAAAGTCTAAACACTTCCCAAGTTCCAAATTGGGAAGACGTGTTCATTTTGATTTGCACGTTAAAAATCCTGGTTTAGCTATAGATCCTGTAAAAGGTGAAGACGCCGGCACTTATAGGTGTCGAGTCGAATACAAGAGGTATAGGACACTCAGTTACCAGTACGAGCTTAAGGTTATTGGTAAGTATTATTATTATTTTGAATTTTTGTCTTTATATATAAGAAGCATACAAAATCATTTTTTACTACATGAGTTGGTATTTAGAAACAGCCTATTTTAGTTTTTTTAGATTGCCTGCTAATCTCATTTAAACTCCTTACATTCTTGGCATAAAATAAAGGTTTTTTATGATTGGATTTATAATAGTTTGGAATTTTATGTATAGAATGGTTTAAAAACACATTTGACTAGTTCAAGAGAAATAAATAAGTTCGAAATTTGCTTAAGTCGAATTTTAAGCTTTGAACTAGAATTGAAAGAGACCCCAGTTAAATTAATTATAGAAAATTAATAAGAAACCGTTGATTAGTAGATGTTCCGATAATTTGTAAACTACCTACCTAGAAACAGAAGGATTAGCTGCTTTAAACCAGTGTGGTATAAATCATGCCATACACTATATGGTTCGTTTTTAATTTCTTGATGAAGAAATTGTATCTTTTATTTTCCGGATTTTTAAAAAAAATTTCATCCTTTTTTCCTTTTTCTTTCAGTGCTTTGTTTATATTTTTTCATTATTATACCCCCCCTTTTTTTCATATGTCTTTAATTTTCTTTTGTTTTATCTTTATTTTGAACTTATATATATACATANTTTGCTCAGTAAGCAAAAATGAATTTATTTAGTAAGTTAAAATGATCTCGTAGCAGCAAATGTTTTCTGAACATTTTTGAAGAAAAAATTCGAACGTTGCGAAGAAAATAAAATAAAATATGTGTTTTATTTAAACAAAGTATCCCAAGTAACACGCCTAAGAAATCTGCGACTTTTTATCAGCAACAAAAAATTCCACGTCATTGAATGAAATGCATCCAAATTCACCTGACTCATTCTGTATGAATTTTCTCGCTTTTAGTGTACGAAAAAGATTTTTTGACACATCGCAGCATTAGAAAAAGACTGAAAATGATTCAGAAATCGACAAAAAATTAACATAATAATGCTATAAAATGCTAACGTTTATGAAATGTTCAACAGATAAAGCTGTCATAAAATAAATCCCACAAAAGATGCATTCCCTAAAAAACATTTCGCATTTCCTCATAAGTCTAAGCATGCATGCATCATAATCTTACATATTAAAAATTTCTATAGTCGTCACATTAAAGTTAATTAATTTTGAGCTTCTACCAAGTGTGTTCGATATCTATCCAGTGAAATTTCATTTCATTATTTAAATTCGTAAACGCAAAATTGAATTTATACATTTCGTTTTTTACTAAAATCTCGCTCTTTTGAGATACTTTTGAAACATTTTCATTTACACCTGAAAAAACAGTCAAAAAACATGATTTTTGTAACTGGGCGGTGCTACCCGACGCATTTTGAAAAGAGCTGAAAAACATGTTTTTAGAAAATTTCTATTTTTTTAAGTTAAACTATTCTTATTTTGGTATATTCCTTTTGCATTATTTAATTAGATGATAAAACAATTGAATCATGCAAAAATATTGATTATTACTCAATATTATACAGAAATATAAGCAATACTCCTTAAGTGGGCGGGGCTACCCGACTCTCCCTTATACATATATATATTATCTTATTTGATAAAACAAACTTTTTTCTTTCATGTATTATTTATCTTTTCTTAAACAAAGTTCATTTCCTCAACTTATGCTGTGTTTTGCATAAATTTAATAATTATGTCACATTAGAAGGATGTCACATTCTGATACATGTATGATCTCATATCTAATTCTTTTCAAAATTTAATTTCTCTGTGATTGATTCTACATATTAAAGAGCTACAGATGTATAACGTTACTTGAGATATGCCTCATATAAAGTTACTAAATATGCCTGAAAGAAAATTACGTAAGATTCATTTATTGTATATCACTGTTTATTGCAAACATCGTGACTTGTCCTTTTATTTCAAAATATCTGAATAGTAGATCCCTTAGTAAAGAGCTAAGTTGTAAAATATTTTCATAATACATAACATATCTTTGTATACTGTTTTATCTTTATTTTGTATTATGTTAAAATATATGTAGCTTTGCATTCGAAAAATTTTAAAATATATATTTTAACACAAATAAGAATTTTAGAGAAACTAAATTTTACATCTGTTCCTAATTAACTCATATGAAGTTAATATCGTATATCATCAATTTCAACACACAGAACCTTTTAAATGTCGAATAAGTCAATAACATCAGATTGAAAAATATAATTCTTCCTCCTTTAATTTTCTATTTCATTCTTCATTTTTTGAACAAAAATAAAAAGATAAAACTCCTGTGACCAGACAGCGGCGAACTACGTGTTTTTATATTTATAAATCTGGGATTTTTTTAGAAGAATTTCAGAAGAAATGCTTAATTTCACTTAAAACTAAAGAGTAATCAATCAAATCTGCCAACAATAAGTATCAACGAAATCGCTCAAAAAATTCATCAAATCTCCTACATTTAATTAAATTCTTATTTTCAAGATCTATTTATCTCCTTTAAACATACCACTGTGAATTGACTAAAGCTGCGTTTCTCGTGGATTTAATAAATATGTCATAAAGAAAAATAAATAAAGATTCCTTGAAGCATTTTATATCTCATCCTGTATCATCAATCATCTCGTATCATTTTTCAAAATTGTATATCCTGATGGTAGATTCGAAAGGAAAAGAGAGCTAATGTTATCGTTTCTAGGCGCCCAACATGGTGAAAGGTGCTGCGAGAATGAACCAGTCTGTCTTTTACATATCTCAGTTGGCTTCTTTTTTGGCTGGTTTTCTGCAGAAGTCTAAGGTGTCGAAAAGATGCTGCAGTACTTTTCTTTCTATGAGGAGACCATTTGTCAAGATTTGGGTGAACGGAGAACTTCTTTTCTTGCTTACGCAAACGATGTAGACGATGACACACACGATCAATTTTGTGTCCTGTGATTTCGTGTCGGGATATATTCATTTTATGAATATTGCTCAAGTAAATGAGGATTTATTTTCAACAGTTTGCGTTGGATGTGTTATTGAGTTATTACTATGCATAATTATTTATTAGAATAAGGAAAGTTCATTCATTTTGAATTTCTAAATAGAAGCAGCTCCGGCCGGCTTGTGTAGGGGGCAGGGGACAGTCCTTGCATCAGAAAGGTCTTGGGTTTGAATCCCGGGCAAAGCATGGATGTTTCTTTCTCTCTCTGTGTGCTCTATGTCCTTTCTCCTTCATGTGTGAATGTGACCCGCCCTATAAACGGGTTGTGGTGTGGCAGAAGTCAAATTCCTGGTCATAGATGGCGCCACTGAAAAACAGGAACAATCGCACATCCACTGCCTAAACAGGCATACGACAGAAAAAAATTTAAGCAGCTAAATAAGTAGCAAAGAAGAAGAAAAAAATGCTGCCATTGCTTTCAGCGACGCATAAATTGATCTGTCATTGATTTTCTAACTTAAATTTCTTCAATTATTTCTTCCTATATTCACTCTTTGTGGCTTAGTGGTTTAAGAGAGTGACCTGTCATAGTGAAAAATTGGGTTTCGATCCTCGTTGGTAACTTGGAGCCATTCCATCTGCAAATCAATGGTTACCAGATTGATTAGAAAATAAAAACGTTAGGTTTGCAATGATGACGTCATTCTAGCCATTATTCTACGAAATTGTGGAGTTTTTAAATTCATGAACTTCTTGGTATGCAATGGTCTGTAGCGGGAAGGATTTATTCATTCACAACAACAGTGGTTATTCATGTTTGAAAAATTCTATTATACTAATGAGAAAATAATCAAAATAAATGTCTGATGATTGTGTACTATTTTCGAAAAGAATAATTAGCTTAATAATAGATATTTAAAAAGAAATTCCATAATGAAATAAAATATTGAATAAATATAAAAAGCATTGTAAATATTATGCAATTCAATGTCCAATAATAAAAATTCAATCCAATTACGAAGAAACAATAAAAATGTACGTACAGTAATTAGAAAAAATATATAATAAAGAAATTATCCAAAAATAATTATTTAATAGTAAAATGAAAATAAATTCGAATTGACATTTTATTACTGTTTCAAATTAAACGCATTTTTTGCATCTTAAAGAGCAATTTAAACGAGATTAAAGAAAATAAGAGTCTCAAATCTTATTACTTCATAATTGACTCAAATTCTGGTTTATTTAAAGAGCTAATCATTTAAACAATGTAAATCCATGTTGTTCTGGTAGAAAATAATAATGAACATTGTAAGAAAGTTTTTAAAAAAGGAGAGATTGATAAAAACTACACTCTTCGTTTCATATGTATTAAAGCAATCTGATTGAAACACTTGAAATTATGTATGACAATTACGTGATACTAAATTATACTATTCATATTACTCCATAGTTGACTCAAGTTCTGGTTTATTTAAAGAAATAATTATTTATATAATGTAAATCTATGATTTTCTGGTATAAAACAATAACAAACATTGTATGGAAGTTTTAAAAAAAGAGAAAGAGTGATGAAAATCTAAAATATTCATTGTAGAATTTCTTTCTTAAAACTTTTCTCCCAGAAAAACTGTTTCTTCTTTTTCTTTAGATAGAGAGGATGTGCATCAAACTTTGTATTCATATCATTTCCTTTCAAACAAAATCGATTGAACTTCGAAATTTGAAGAAGCTTTGTGCGAGGAAAGTAAATAGACCTGTATGTAAATATGGGCATCGATAGACGGGGATCCACCAAGGGCACCCAGGTTGAATCTGAATATATTTTGTACATCTACGTTTTTCTTTATTCAAAAAGTGCTTTGTAGGGAGAAATAATCTGATTTTTCTTCAAAGATTAACGAAATGCTTTCGATAAATTTAAATTGGTTTTTCTGAGTTTTAAGCTTATATTACACATGCAAATACTTTGCACGACTAAAGTAGTATTCTTTTACATGCATAGTTTATTTTTTTAAATACTCATACTATGCTTTTATTTTAGTGAAAACCTGCGTGTGTAGTGAGAAAAAAAAACTTA